AAGTATGCTTCAATTTGCACTCCAAATTTCATCAGTTCTCTCTCTGGAGCTTGACAGCATTTTTCATCATGGATCCTTTAGAATTATCCTGGATCACTGTCTTGATCAGAACAGCTAAGTCTTTCACAGTTGATCATCGTTTCAATATTGCTGTTACTGTGTTCAATGTTCTCCTGGTTTCACTTCACTTTGCATCAGTTCACATAAGCCTTCCCAGGTTTTTCTGAAACCATCCTCCTCATCATTTCCTATATCACAACAATACTGTATCACAATCATATGCCACAACTTGTTAAGCCATTTCCCCCAATATCTGATGGGCATCCTATCTTTCCTATCTTTGAGAGTCCTATCTTTCATGGCCCATTTTGGATCTCATCTCTTCCTTGAAGTCCATAAGATCACTCTGCTTTCCTTTCTCTGAATTGCTAAAGAATTTAATGCCTACATTACTCATTTTGGCATTTACCTATTGTACTTAATTAATCACAGAATACTTTGCCATATGGGCAGAGTGCAGGGCCTGAAGTCAGGAAGACTTATCTTCTTAAGTTCAAATCTGGCCCAGACACTTAACTTAGTTATATGACCCTGGGCAAGTCCCTTAATCCTGTTTGCCTCAGTTCTTTATCTGTAAAATGAGCTGGAGAAGGAAAATGGCAAACTACTCCATGATGCATCCCAAAAAAACCCCCCACAAATAGTTGGATACAAAGGGAACAACAGAACAGCCCTGCCTTATATCATTATTTTAATTGCTACTTGAATTTCTATAGGTCCCAACTAGATTATAAGCTTCGTGAGGTCAGGAGATATTTCATACTTCTTTTGGATTCCTACTTCTCTTTTCTCACAGAACTTTTCTGCATGAGTGTTCAAATTGTTGGAACTATTCATAGAATTTGCAAGTCTACATAGTGAACTACCCTGGTCTAATATGGTTCAAAACTTAAGAAAAACATCAAAACACTTGGCCAAACAATGTTTTATTTGATCCAGGAAGAAAACTAACTGAATTTCCTCTCCATGAAAGATGCTAGTAAACAGCTTATACAATTTTTTGGAAGTATATTTGATTTTAGAACTTCTTCCAAAGCATGGAACAAATCTGTTTTTTTAAAAAAAACTTCAATCTCATCAATGTGAAGTATACTATCTTACAAACTGGCATAAATGGAGCCCCATATAACATTAAGTTGAGGGTCCATGTTTCAGTTCTAAGTATTGAATAACAGTGCTATAACTGTCCTTCTGGTACCTTTAATAATAAACTCCTTTTGAGATCACTGAATTCCAAGCTAAGTAGTGTCACAGCTATGCTTCAGTAAACTGTATAGCAAATACTACTTAAATATATATTTTGAGAAGTGTCAACATAAACTGAAAGCACGTATTTTCTTATCAGCAACAGAATTTTTAATGAACCTGTGGGTGCTGTCAATAACTACTCTCAGATGCTTTAGAAATATTAATTTTATAATCACTTCTTCCTTTACTACCTTATTTTATTACTCTAGGTACCACAAAATCAAGAAATTCTTTGAGAAACACATCTTACTTTCCTCAAAGTAAGCAAGATTTTGAGAAACGTCACCTAGTATACTTTGATACTACTAAAAGCATAAACTCTTTTTGCCCTTGCCAGAAAAGGCCTTATTTAACAATAACTTCAATTATGCATTCTAAAACTCATCTTTCTTTTCATGTACTTTATCTTCATGGGTTCTGGCTGTAAAAAAATAAATCAGTGATGTCATCTTTAAGAGTTTTCATTTTATTTCATTCTATAGACTGGTTACATTAGCATCCTTCATGCTCCTCAATCTATATGCCTCTAGTCTGTCATACCCAAAATAAATAGGCACTTGACAGTGTCATTACTATTTTCCAAGTACACAGAAAAAAAGCCCACTTCTTTGGAGAATAACTAAATCAAGGACATCATGTTCCCTTTTTTATGATAAATGTTGATTTTACACTAAAAAGCTAGTCCTTCATTTCAAAAGACTGAATAAGGCAGTACTTAAAAAAGAATTCCAACTGTTTAAATTTAGGGGTACTGAAAAAACTACAATCCAAAAATATTCTGATTGTAGGTCACAAAATTTCATTTGATTGTGAACTGGTTGAAATTTCTTGAGGTTGAAACTTTTACCTCAGGTAGGTAGTTCTTTTAAGAAAGGTAAACTGATACTGATAGCTATGTTCACCATAGAAATACTGCCTCCTTTAACAGAATAAACTATTTCAGTTGTATTAGCACCAATTAAAGATGGTATTGCATATCTGACAAAAAGGTAATGAGATATAACTGATATACGTTTAGTGATATAAGAAATACTGAAACGTCCTCCACCTGGTCTTGCTTCTTTATACATAGGTTTCATCTATTTCTTCTACCCTTTTATACAGGGATTTTTCATAAGTCTGTGTCTGTGTGTTTGGACACAAAATAAAGGCTACCTAAGCAAGAACTATCCTCTCTTACCTTAAGTTGTTGTGTTGTTGTTTTGGAAAGGAAGGTTTGCTCAATTACATGCTGACCTTAGTCCCAACTAGTCTGGGCCTATCCAGCAGTCCTGCTAACCAGTCCTAGCTTGCACTCTAGACTTCCATTTGTTGTCACTCACCCATCTGCTCTCCCCAATTCAAGTGGTAATACTTTCCAGTAGTTTTTTTTCACTTCTTCCTTTCCACATGTTATTTCTTTACTGTTCTGCATTAGCCCTTTCTTTTAGCGTTGTGACCATAACATTCATTGCATGCACATGAAAGCTAGAATAGGCAAAGCCTAAAACAGACTTTGATGGCCCAGGACTACTCTATTTTCTACCCCACTGCTTTAGGCTACCATGTAAAATCTCAATTATTGTGTAAATTACTAGGACCCACAAAATATCTGCGAGTCAATGTACAATAATTTTAAGATCTTCAGGTACAATATTTGTACCAAAGATGAAAAATGAAGAATGGAAATGTTTTTTTCCTACCTACCCATCTGTCATGCAGCTCTACTTGTTTGAAGGACAGTCAGAGATGCTGCTTTTGTTCTACTTGTCCTTTACGTGAGCTGGGAATGAGGATGGTAAGAGGAAAGCTCAGATCAAAAACTCTCTGAAGTATATAACCCAATTGACCACCCTCACTTTCTTGAAGTTCTTCTCTTGGTTTCAATGATTTTCCACCTGCCTCTCTGGCTGTTCTCCTTCTTCTATCTCTTCATAGCTTCCCTTCCTCCTTCTCCTGCTCCTTCCCTCCTCTAAATGTAGATCTCCCTCTGACTCTGTCCTACATCCTCCTCTCCCCTCTTTTTTCATACTCTTACTCACTCTCATGCTTCAGCTATTACTTCTAGATAGATAATTCCTAAATCCATACTTCTAGTGCTAATCTTTTCCCTGACCTCAAGACACACATTTCCCACTACCTACTTGCCACCTCCAACTTCGTGTACAACTAGCAGCTCAAGTTCTACAGGTATAAAACCGAATCCATCATTTAAAAAAAAACAACAACTTGTTCTTCTAATTTTCCCATTTCTGTTAAAAGTAAAACAATTTTCTCAGTCACCCAGATTCAAAAACTCGGTCATCTCTGACCATTTTTTCTCTCTTGCTTATCTCTGCCATCCTTCAACTAACCAGTCCTACAGTTCTTTTAGGAATTTTCCTCCACAGTCTCTCTCCAACCCATTTTCCCCCTCCATTTCTATGGCCATCAACCTCTCTTCATACTCTCTCCAAAGCATCAGCACACTTACAAACTGGCCTCAGTTTTTTCTCCACTCAAATCCATCCTACACATTGTCATCAAATTAATTTTTCTAATGCACAGCTCTATTTAATTACTTCCCTGCTCAAAAACCTTCAATAACCTTCCTTATCAAACAAAGCCCAAACTCCTTGTCATGACATTTAAGGCCTTCCTCAATTCTGCACCAACCTTTGAACTACTCTACCTTTCTGCTCTTATCCCACGTTAGCCCCCTGTGTATGGTACTTTTATACCTTCGCCAAACTAGATTCCACACTATTCTTGATATCATCCTATCTTCTCCCACCTTTCTTTGTACCATTCTTTATGTCTGCAATGTACTATCCCTCTATCTCCACTTAATGAAATCCTACCCTTTTGTCAAGGCTCATCTCAAATGTCACCACTCCCATGACTTGCCTGACAGACATTATGTGTCCCTCCTCTGAATTCTATTAGTATTTTGTTTATTCCTCACCTACAATGTTATAACTGATTTGTATAATAATTGTGTACATGTTTATTTTCCCTTCGTATGCCAAAAGCTTCTTAAGATGGGCCATGTTATGTATCCTTACAGTAATACCCTTGTACATAACTGGAACTCAATAAATGGTTCACTTGAAATGAATACAAAACACATGAAATGATGAGCCCCTCGGTGATAACTAGTACTATCAAGAGATAGTTAAGCAAGCAATACTTCTGTTTTCCTCAAACTTTTAAAACTGTAGATTTAATTTAATTTTGTCATGGCAGGATTAGCAACCAGGCTACAGAGGTGAAGGGACATTACAATATGACAGCACATTAATCCTCTATCCCACCCAAGGCAGAAGCAAAACCAAACAAATAGCAGCTTCCTGGAAATTGAATTTCTGTTATCCAGATGTCAAAGATGTAATACCCCAATTACACAAACTATTGCCAGTGAAGCATGCCAGCAAATATGCAATGTAAATGGGGTGAGCACAGAGCTACAAAACTGCACAGTCAGCATCTGGCTCTGTGAGTGAGTGATAATTAGCACTGTGTGTAGACACTAATAAACATTTATGTCTGAAATTACAACTTTTAGCAATGTTAATAAGGGATATATTGGCAATCTGTAAAATAAAAGGTCTTGAAAAGAATGTCATACATTAAGCAATGGCAGACATTTCCCGTTCTTGCACAATCCTTTTTTTTTTCCTAATTGCAAATGGCCACACTGTTTTGCTCAGAAATTAATCGACATAAGAACCTACCTAAAAAAATGGGTTGTGTCTCTTTGGCCTCTCCATTAACATCATTGCTGAAGCCAGAAACCTTATATATCTCATGGTGATAGTCTAGAAGAGAAACAACCAAAAATTAGAATTCTAATGACATTAAAGATACAAAAAGGCATTGAATACTATTATTACATATAGTATTAAAACTCTACAGTTTAACTTGTAATTATAATTTTGAAAAATCTAATTAACCACAGAATATGAACTCTATAGCAGCACCCAAGAACTTTATCAGTATTTCTGAAACTGTACAAAACAGAAATATTTCACAGATTTTTGAGAACAGCTTTACCTGACCTATGTCAGTTTTCACTGACAAGTTATGTCAACATAAAAGTCCAGATATTTTTCTAAAGCTCATCAGCAAGTAAATTCATAATCAAGAGGGAAAGTGTGCTGTATCCCAGGTCATATAAGTCTTTTACACTTAACTTTACAACTAAATTTGTATAGGTCATATTAATATTAATTCCCAATATTTAGCTACAACACACTTGATTTTAACAGTTAATATTGAAAAATACTGGGAATTAAAAGCAGTCTAAAAGGAAGGCCATATGAAAAATACTAATTTGTTGTTTTAAACAGAGTAGAATTTGAATAAGGAAGCCAGGGTCTCATCTTTCACACAAAGGTATCTTTTGCATTCAGCTACTGCACTTTAATATGCAGTGGCTTATTTTCTGAAAATGCACCTGCACAGTAGAGAAAAGAATCAGACTCAGAATTTGTTAGAAACTTGCTATGTCAGTCCAACTTAAAAATACAGTATTTCACTAGCCTCTCTGTAGAGGCTCATATGGTTTTGATATAGTTCCTACAAATTGGGATCACCTAAATATCTGCCTTAAATGTAAGTTTCTTTTTCCATTCACGCCTTTTGGGGGCCTTGGACATTACAGACCAATATCTACACAACTACTCTCATTTTCAAGATACAGTAATAAGTTATCTGAGGTTAGAAAAACGAAAGTAACATATTATTCTTGTATGGATCAAGCAAAAAAAAAGAAGGCAGGTTTTATATATATACATATATGCATATGTATGTATATATATATGGAGAAACTTTTAAAAGTTCAAGTAACCGAGCAATCGACTCTGTTGAGCAAAGTTATAAAGAATCAAAAAGAACCCAATCTTTTGAATAGGCACAGTGACTGAAAACCCCTCTCACCAAATTCTATCCACTTGTTCAACTATTTAAATCAGTTTACATGGGAAGAAGAAAACATATAATCAAATGAATTTTCAAACAAACTGAAAGTAGGCTTTATTTACTCCACACTAACATTTAGCTTAGCTGGGGTTTAATTAGAAAACACTCTGTTATTTGCAAATAGCCCTCTACTTTTCATTAGTCTATATGATGACTTTTAAAAAATTGCTAAAACAGTTGGTTTGCTCCCACCCCTAATAGCCCATAAAACAGCAGAGGAAAAACAGACTGGTTCTGGGTTTCTGTGTTTGAATTTAAGATTGATTCAAAAAGGCTTAAGGAAAAAAGATGTTCTGAACCCTTAAAATATAAATGTAACATTACACTGAACTAATCACCTGCTTTGAATTTAACAAGACACAAGGTAGTTAACAGATATATCTTACATTTTTGCCCTGGGCTTTAATTCTTCTGTCTTTTCTAAGCCAAATTAGAAAAATTAAGATTCTAAGAAGTAACTCATCCTGAAAAGCATTTCCCCGTCCTACTACCCTCTCCCCTCTAAATAACCTAAACCCAAGCAGCTGAGATATACACTTGTTAAATCATTGAGAGATTTAATGGAATTTTTAAAAATAGATTTTACCAGATGCATAATTCTTTTTAAAACACCTTTTCCTACACCAATCATACCTCCAAACAAGTTAGACAGCAACAATTTTTCCTTGTGCATGATCATTGTTTTTCCTCACAATTGAAAAAAAAAATTAAACACCACAATTTGGGGCGGGGGGGGGGGGCGGGCCGAACTTGGCCGTAAGGGCAGGAATCATTAGTCCAGATTTCTGTACACCACTAAAATGGAATAGCAAACACCTCACTTCCCAAACCTGGTCACAGTAGTTGAATGCACAAGAAGGCTCTCTGCTCCCTAAGTGTCATTGTTTGCTAATTTCCTGATTTGCTTTTTGGGCTGTTTACGTTCAACAACATCCTGCCTCCCCCCCCCCCCCCTTTCACAATACAACTTTATTTTGTGTACAGCGGTCTCGCCGCCAAGCATCAACATTGCCCCCCCCCCATCAAAACGCCCCCGCTTTAGAGCGGGTTCTTTTAAAAAAAAATAAAAATAAAAAACCTTTTTTAAAGATACAGTTACTGACCTGAAAACATACAATTGCATTGACAACAACAGAGGGTGAGGGAAATGACAAGGGAGGGGGCGAGAGAGGCTTGGAGAGCGCCAGCGGCTGGGGGGATGTTTACACCCCGGTAAAGTCCCTTCTCCCGGTCTCTGACACCCACCCGGGAGAAGACCCCTTGCCCGTCCCCACACCTCTCTCTCTCTTTCTCCCTCTCTGTTTTCTCTTCTCTTCTTACCTTGGTTCACCAGTTTAAAGCTTTGGGATTTCCTGCTTCTTTTCCTCTCGGAGAACTCCATGGTGCTCGGGAGAAGGAAGGAGGAAGGGAATGTGGCAGGGGAGAGAGAGAAGGAGAGACAGAGAGGGAGGAACGGGGGGAGGGAGAGGAGGAGGAGGAGGAGGAGGAGGAGGAGGAGGAGGTGGATGAGGAGGCGGCGGCGGCGGCTCTTGTCACCCGGCCTCAGCAGCAGCCGCCAGGAGGACCAAGGTCCGTCTCTCAAATCAGCCGGAATGATAATTGTAAGAATAATTTAAACCAACAAAATAAATCCGGCCCCCCGGGCGCTTTCGGACCCGGGCGTGGGCGGGGCTGGAGGATTCCCCGGGACAAGTTGCCACTTTGCTCTCGCCCCCCAGCCCCGCACCCCTGGCCCCCGGCCCGGAGAAAAGGCGAGGAAGCTGCCGAGCCCGGGCCCCGTCGCCCTCCGCCACAACTTTCGGCTGGGGCCGGACTTGGCCCGGGTCTGGCTCGGGGCTGGCCCCGGGAGCAGAGGGCTGGGAAGGGGGCGGGCAGGCGCCGGGCGCTTTTTCCTGCTCCTTCCCCGCGAGGCGGCGGCGGCGCGAGGGCGGCGATGGGCGGCCGGGGAGGTGGCGGCGGCGGCGGTAGGTCGGGTCGGGCCCGGAGGAGGAGGTGGCGGCTGCTGCGGGGGAGCTGGGGGAGCCGGGTCAGAGGCGCTCGCCACCCCCCCCTGCCCCCCGCCGGGGCGGGCGGAGGGAAGGAGGGGAAGGAGCGGAGGAGGGAGCGCCCGCGCTGCCTGGGACCCCGGTGCCACCTGCTGGGGGGGAGCCGGCCCTCGCACCGGCGCCCCGGGCCGCCCCCCTCCCCGCCTCCGCCATCCCCCTGGGGGCCGAGCTGAGGGAGCCAGCCGAGCCCGCCGGCCGCTCCCCGGGCTCGGCCCCCGGCCGCACGCCATCCCGAGGAGGCGGAGGCCGCGCGAGCAGACGGACCCACGGACTGACCGACGGACTGAGCGGCTTCCCGGGAGCCGCGGCCGCCGCGCGCTCGCGCTCTCGGCCCGCGCTCGCGCCCTCCCCGCTCCCCCCCCCTGCGCGTCGCCGCCGCCCGGTCAGAGCTCGGGGCTCCCTCCCCCCGGCTTTGGAGAGCGCTGCCCAGGTCACCACCACCACCCCCCGCGCCTGGGAGCTCTCTGGGGAGCCTCCCCCCCAGGGGCAGGATCCTTCTTGTTCTTTCTTTTTCCTTCGAGACTCCAAGTCTTGTGGGGTCCTCCCCTCTTATCTACTTCAGTCCCGGGGAGGGTGGTATGCCTTGCCACCCCGAAACCGCCTCCCACTCTCAAATTCCTGAACCAGGGAGCCCCTGTTTTAAGCAGCTGTTAGATGAAAACTCTCCTGTCCACAAATACTTCATATGAAATGAACCAACGCTATTGAGAAGAGCATTGACACTGAGCCCCGAAAATCGACTACAGGTCTCGTAGGGGTGGCCCCGGAATTTAGAGAACACGTGTGGATTGAGGGTCGTCCTGAGAAAACTTGTCATCCCTGAGGGTTCTGCATTCTGTTGCCTCTTTAAGGAAGAAATCCCTAAGGCAAATGCAAAAGACTGGCGAAATGATATCAAAATAAAAGGAATAAACAATAAGCATTTCATTAGACTTATTAAGGGCATCTCTAAGGAGCACAGAGCACATCAAGGACACTGTTTCTTCTTCATAACACCCTCTGGGAGAGAGGGAAAAATAATTGTATGGCTCTTGGGATGTGCAGCACTAGAATGAGAGCCACAACAGTACAGGTGGTTAAGACCACTGGAGGTGGAGTCAAAAAGTCTGTATTCAGATTCCACCTCTGTCCCTTATTCCCAGTGTGATACTGGACAATACAATCTAATAAATCCTATAAATGTTTTTTAAGTGCCTACTACGTGTCAGGCACTGCAGACACAATTCATAAAAAGATAATCCCTGCCCTCAGTGAGCTCACAATCTAAAGAAAAAAGACCATCCAAAAAGACACAGGAGAGGGGAGAGAGTGGTTGGTGGGGAGAAGTCAGAACCTCCTTGGACCACAGTTTCCTCTTCTGTAAAAGGAAGGGTTAGACCAGATGACTTCTGAGGAGCCTTCTAGATCCATGGTCATTTTGTATGAGGCTTTTAGGTGGAGGAATAGTTGGGCTGCAATACGAGATGTCCTAAAAGGCTGGGTGCAATTTAAAATTGCATTCAGTCTTTGGGGACACCAGGTATAACAAATCCCTGGTCACCTTAAAGGCTAGTGAGGATTGGAAGACATGGTGAATAGCAGTATCATGGTATTTACACCATGGACCCTATCCAATGAGACTATACCAGTGGTGTCAAACTCATATAGAAGCTTATAAAAAGATCCCTGCTGGTTGCATATTGACATAGGAAACCGCGTTTAATGTTATCTATGTTCTATTGTGTTTTTATTTATTTTGTTAAATATTTCCCGATTCTGTTTTCATCTAGTTCTCCTCTAGACACTCAGGAGTGTTGATTTGTGTTTGATACCTGCTCTACACTGATTGACAGTTGCCTGTGTTTCAGGTCCTTCCTTCCCTACTTTAGTGGATTACCATAGCAGAATTGCTAGTCCTGTGGCCAGACTACTGGTGATTGCTGTCTCTGCACTTCAGTAGGCTGATTTTTAGCAAACAGGCGCCAACACATTATTAAAGGCATGTTTTGTGAATACTTAGGAAGTACAGCAGAGATCAATTAGAAGCCATTATGGGTTAATAAATGACAACTCCTACCAAACTAACCTTAATTCATTTTTTTGTTTTGTTTTGTGAGGCAATCTGGGTTAAGTGACTTGCCCAGGGTTGCATAGCTAGTTAGTGTCAAGCGTCTGAGGTCACATTTGAATTCAGGTCCTCCTGACTCCAGAGCTGGTGCTCTATCCATTTCACCACCTAGCTGCCCCTCCTTAGTTCATTTTTGATAGTTTATACAGGAGAGGAATTCTGTAGGCATCATATACTCATATTTCCATGAGCTATTTAAGTGAGAGAACCTCTCACAATTGGGATAAATCTGAAGTTCTGTACTTGGAATAAAAATTACCTGTACAAATAAAGGAAGGGAGAGGTATGACTAGATAATTCATATAAAAATGAGCTGTGGGGTTTAGTGGACTTCCAGCTCAATATAAGCTTATAGTGCCCCCCCCAAAAAAGCTAATGGAATGTGAAATTGCATTAAGAAAAGCTTATTTTGTAGAACAGGGGTTCTAAACCTGGAGTCTGTGAACTTGTCTTTTTAATATTTTGTAACTATATTTCAATATAATTGGTTTCATTTGTATTTTATTTTATGCTTTCAAAACAGGCTTCACCAGACTGCCAATAGGACTATGATATAAAAAAAGAAGGTTGCCAGCCTCTAGACTAGAATGAAGAGAGGTTATATCCTCCCCACACTTCCATTTCAGTTCAAAAAGCATTTATTAGGCATCTATTATGTAGAAAGTACTGTGCTGGGTGCTAGGAATATAGACACAAAATATTATACCTGCCTTCAAAGTTTCTATAGTACTAGGGGAAAACAATACTTACGCAGGTAAATGAATACAAAATATGTATAAAATAAATTATTTTGGGAGGAGCACCACCTGGTTGAATCAGGAATGACCTCTTCTAGGAGGTTGTGCTTGAGCAAAACCTTGAAGGGAACTTGATTGTAAAAGCAACAACTAGGTGTCAATGAATAGAGCACTGAGTTTGAAATCGGGAAGACTCATCTTCATGAATTCAAATGTGGCCTCAGACACTTACCCGCTATGTGTCACTTAACTCTATTTACCCCAGTTTCCTCATCTGTAAAATGAGCTGGAAAAAGAAATGGCAAACTACTCCAGTAGCTTTTGCCAAGAAAACCAGAAGAGTCGGACATGACTGAAACAACTAAACAACTAAAGATTCTAAGAGTGGTAGCGTAGAGGAAGAGCTTTGGAGGCACCAGACACAGCCTGATTGAGGTGGAAGAGGAAATGTTCTTGGACTACGTATGGGGATTGTTTTCAGGTTCTGAGCACCATGTTTTAGGAATCTAGGACAAAGCTAGGGCCCATCCATAGAAGGGAAATCGGTATGATAAGAAAATTCAAGACTTGGTGTAGACTAAAGAACCTGGAGATGGTTAGCCTGGAGAAGATACAATATATGCAAGACAAAACAGTAGTCTTTAGGTATTTAAAGGGCTGCCATATAGAAGAGGTACTCAATTTATGTTTTGCTCAAGAGGGCAGTTAAGAGTGATAGGAATTTCAAAGAAGAAAATTTAGGTTCATTAGAAGGATGAAATTCCTAATAATTACAGCCATCCAAAAATTACTTTACATTACCTTGGAATGTAATGAATTCACCCTTCTTGGAGGTCTTGTTTGTGAGTGTAGTATCAGATCTTCAACCCTTCAAATCAAATCCATACATTACTAAATCTATTCTTGTCTTTCCTGTGCTTTTTCTCCTCTACTCTCCCTATTTTCTTCCTGACCAGCCTAAATTGAAAGTCAGAAGTCTTAGTACTCAACTTTGTCTTTCTAAAGGTTTTTAAAATCTCTGACCAAAACAAAACGGAGAAACAGACTAACTAAAAAACATTTAGGAACTTTAATACCTGTGAATATAGAATGAGGTTTTATTACACTTAAACTATGATGAAATCATTGAAGTTGTCATACCCTAGCAAAACCCTAGGGAAGCTATTAACAAATTAGCACTTCAAGTTCAAGTGGGAATATGAATTCCACTTACCATAGAGAATAGTATATGTGTAGTTAAGAATAAAAGCCAGATGGAATGGTTTGGATAATTCAGTTGGATTTCCTTTGAATCTCTTGCCTGACATGAGACCCAGGACTAGAATATGGCTCAGGAAGGGACTACCTTATTCAAAAACATTGTCTGTGGACGTTATTCTGAAAAGGTGGACCACAGACTCTGGATCATGTCAATATCCATATCAAATCAACAAATAATTATTGAAAAATTACTTTGTATAATACCCTATGCTTTTTAGAAAATTAATGTATACACTTTTGGTTTTGGCAGGAAATAATGATTTTAATAAAAGGACTTTAAACTGAAAAAGGAAAAGGAGAAAATAATCCTATGTATA